GCTCACCGGGAAGGCCAGATGGCAGATGGGGCCCATCCAGGCCTGGCGCTGCTGGGCAGCCAGCAGGTGGCTTCGCTCAGTGGTGGTGAGCAGGAAGGCCCCTGTGTCTCGGGGGCAGCTCTCTCCGTCAGCGGGCAGCACGGACACGCAGTCAGCCAGGCGGATGACCCGTCGCTCCCCGCGACGTGCAGACCTGTCCCCCGCAGACCCTAGACCAGACTCTCGGGCATCCCAGCTCTCCAGCCGGGCCACGCCGGATGGGCCTCCAGCATAGAGCAGTGCCCACACCTTGCGCCAGCACTTCTGTGGGAAAGTGGCAGGCTGTCGGGTGGTAGATTCTCCCGGTGCTCAGCCCAGCTGTGCACAATCGGTGCTCAGCCCAGCTGTGCACAATCGGCTCCGCGCACACTCCTAGCTGCCCTCTGCTGCCCCCACTCCTCGGGGCCCCAGGGGAGGAGGCTCCTTCAGAGCCAGGCTGTGCAGAGAAGAGTCTGTGTGTGTGTGTGTGTGTGTGTGTGGGGGGGGATGTCAATCAGCTCTGGGTTCAAACCCCCCTTCTGCTCCTTTTCCTAAGGTGGTAAGGATCCTACTGTATGGTGTCTGTGAAGGCCCGAGGTCCCCAACGTGACCACCTGACCCTGCTCTTGTGTTTGGCCCCCTCCCACAAAAATGTCCCCACGGGGCAGGGAGGCCTCAGCCACAGGCCAGCGAGGAAGGAAACATGCAAATAGCTTTAAGCAGAGGAAACAGGCCGTTTATCGGGCTGGGCAGCAGCTGCAGCTGAGCTGGGGGTGCAGGGCTATCTGGTGGGGAGAGGTGGACTCCCACCCACCTCTCCCCGTGACCTGCTGGGAGCCAAGCCCTCTTCTACAGGATGGGGCTCAGTCCCAGGGACCAGGCCCTGTCCATCTTGGCTAACTCCCCTGAGGGGCGGCCGGGCTCTCCTTTAGATGGCCTCAGCTCCGACCTGCTAGGAGACTGGCTTCAGTCCTGCTGTGGGGTCCCTGGTCTATGAGGGAGGCAGGGCCATCCACAGGTCTGATCAGCCTCAGCCCAAGCCCAGGACTAAGCTCTCTTCCATTCTCTCATACCTGGGTTGGGTCCCCCACTCTGATGCCCCACTTCTCCCAGATTGGGGGCAGGGGGATGTCCAAGTGGGGTTGTGGGACTGCGTTCTGCCCACGTCTCCTGGCCGGCCAGCCAGCTACCCACCCACCAAGGGGAGCCCACCTTGCCAAACTTGATGTGCTGCTGGTAGAGGAAGCCCTCCTTGACAGGGGTCTCCAAGGGCTGCATGTTGCGACCAGGACACAGGGCTGTGCTCTGAGATCTCGAGGAGACTGGTGACAGGCAGAGGGGAACTCCTCACACTTCCCCTTCTGGCCACTTCCCCTCCTTCAGTCCAGAGGCAGCTCTAGGGCCTGGGGGGGAGGGGATCCCTGTCTTCAGCCAAGGAGCTGGGACAAGTATTGGGGGCATCTCATTTTTGCATCAGGGTCTCTGCTGGGCATACTCTTCTGGTGGGGGCCACAGACAGCCAGGACCAGAGGACAATGGCCCTAGGCTGCCCCTGGGTCAGCTGGGAGAGTGTCTGGCCAGTCTGGCTCCCCTGAGTCAGGAGCTCAGTCCCCACCCCCTCTGCAGCCACTGCGCACCAGGCTGGCCCCACCCTGAGTCCTCCTTGCTTTCCTGCCGGCCATGGTCTCCCCCATCTGCTTCTCCCTGAGCTATTCTTAATAGTCATGCTGCCCCCACAGCTTGCTCTGCTGGCAGCCCCAGCATCAATCTCTGGACCGCTGCCCCTGCCCTCTCCTGTGGGAGCCACTGCTCTGCAGTGAGACCTGCTCTTCCCCCCACACTGCTTTTCCTCCCTGCCATGCCCCATCCTCCTGGAGGGCTTCCCAGGCTGCCTGCTGTCCCACCGCTTGTGGTGGGGGCTGGCCAGGCGGCCCCAAGCTTGGGCAGCCCGGCCTTCTCGCCACTCTGCCAACAATGAGGAAATTGAGGCTCGGAAAAATTAAGTAACTTGCCCGAGACCATAGGAGTGACAAACCCAGCTTGAGCAACTGCTGTCCACTGGGATCAGCATGTGGTCTCCCAGAGGCGCCTGGCCCGGGGACTGCTGAGGGAGCGGCCGCCACTGGGGCTCCTCCTTGCTGCCCTGCTCGGACGCTGAACTCCTGCTCCTTTGCAGCAGCCTCACCCTGGCCACCAGGCCCATTCTCTGTGAGGCAGGACTCTGCCCACTCACCTGTGCCCAGAGAACCCAACCTGACGGGCGGAGTGGGGGCAGTGGTCACTGACCAAGCCAGTCAGGGTGGGGCCCAGTGAGGCTTGTGGTGAATGGGGGTGAAGGAGCTGAGGGCTGCCCCAGGAGGCTGGGCAGGTGGGCAGTGGACCGAGGGTAGAGAGTGGCCACCCTCGTTCAACAGACAGGAAGTGAGAGACTGGGGTGGAGCTGGAGGTGATGACAGCCAGTCATTTCCCTTCAGTCCACCTGAGGTGAGTCCTGGCAGCCCAGAAAGGGCATCCTGGATCATGCCAGTGGGAAGTCGAGAGCAGCTTGGGGTCTCCACACCCATCCAGGCCCTAGCAAGCAGGGGCTGCCCGGGTGAGCAAGGCGCTGCGGCCCTGCCGCACAGGGCACAGGTTGGAGGGTGAGGGCTGCCTGGGACCAGGAGGAGACAAGGAAAACCACAGAGGCTGGGCTGACCTGAGAGGTTGTGCTTTAATAACAGCCAGGGGGGAGGCGGACAAAAATAGTGACTCTGGTGACCCCATAAGTAGGCAGGCAGGCCCAGGCCAGCTGGGCAGACGCTGGCTTTTTGTCCATCCGTTTGTGAGGGGTGGGGTGGTGGTGGCGGCTGGAGCCCCAGGGACTGGAGCCTCTTGGAGGAGGACAGACAGATGGTTCAGAAATCCATGGAGCTGTGGGCCAGGTAGTCCTTGCGGCCGATGTTGCTGACCTGCTTGGTCTGCATGGCCTCAAGCTTGGGACAGTCAGTGATCCGATGGCCCAGACCCCCACAGAAGGCACAGCCACGCTCTCCTAGGGGTTGGAGAAATAGTTAGCAGGGTCATCGGGTCATGCTCCAGAACTGGGGCTCCCATCTGAGCCACCCAGGCCCCAATGTCCAACACGGATTTGTTGACTCTGTGTTCCTCTCCTGCACCACCCGTCCCCCAAGCCAGGGCTCCCGCCTGCGCAATGGTCACCTCCGATGTCCAGCATGGACTCATCGCCGCAGTGTAGCACTTGCAGCACGGGAGGCACCTTCTGCTTGGCCTCCAGCAGCAGGGCTTTGAGGTCCATCAGCACGGACTCATCTGTGGGGCAGAAGGCAATCGTCAGGGTCTAGCCTAGACAACACAGTCAGAACCTGGTGGCAACAGGAGGGAGAGCCAGGGGACAAATAAGGCCTGGACCCAGACTCACCACAGGCCTTGTTGATGAAAGTGGTGGCAATGCCCGTGTTTCCAGAACGCCCCGTGCGGCCAATACGGTGTACTGCATCAGGGGAGCAAAGCTGTGGCCAACTGCCCAGGCACACAAGGGCTTGCCCTTCCCCTCCCTGACTCCCTACCACGGCCCCTGCCAACTCCCCACCATAGTTCTCAATCTCCTCAGGCATGTCATAGTTGATAACATGCTGGATGGCAGGAAAGTCCAGCCCCTTGGAGGCGACATCTGTGGCCACGAGAACGTCCTTCTTGCCCTCCCGGAAAGCCTCAATGGCCTTGGTCCGTTCCTCCTGGTCTAGGGGGCCAGGCAGGAGCAGTTAAGAGTTACGGGAGACATTTGGGGGAACAGCAGCATGCTGGCCGGGCAGGGAAGGGGTTAGGTCTGTATGGCAACCAGGCTGTGCCAATGCAGGAGTCACCCTGACCTTTGCCACCGTGGATGGCTACGGCCTCCACCCCCTTGAGCAGCAGGTACTCATGGATGGCGTCCACATCTGCCTTCTTCTCTGCGAAGATGAGCACCTGTCCAAGAAGGCCAAGTCCAGTCCCGTGGGCCCATGTCCTCGGCACCCCTTCCCCTTCCCAGGGACCATGGCCAGCCTGGCCCCCTGCACTCACCGGTGGGGGGGTCTTCTGCAGGCACTCGAGCAGGTACACCATTTTGGCTTCTTCCTTCACATATTCCACCTCCTGTCACCACAGGGACCAGGTCAGGTGACCCTGCACCCGGCCACGGCCCTGCTTCTTAGGCTAGGTCCCTAATCCAAGCCAGGTGGGGACAAAGTCCCTTGCCATCAGGGCCTGGGACTTCTACCCATGTTTTGTGCTGAGAGGGCAGGGATCTTGAATGACATTCCAGGGCTTCCACGGCGATCCTCCCCACCCCCATTTGCCAGGGCACCCAGCCGGACCCTCGGGATGCCTGCCCACCTGGATGACGTCCAGGCTGGCGGCCCCGGCCCGGCCCACATTGATAGTGACAGGCTTCACCAGGGCGCTCTTGGCGAAGTTCTGAATCTTCTTGGGCATGGTGGCACTGAAGAGCAGAGTCTGCCGCTGCCCCTGAGGAAGGGCGGGACATGAGATGGGGAGGCCGAGCCCAGGGCAGGGGTGGACAGGCGCTTGGGGACTGAGGAGGCTGAGCAGTAGTATGGGGCCTTAGGTGTAGGAAGACGCTGGTAGCTCCTAGGAGCGGGCACCTTGAAGTAGGAGAAGATGGTGCGGATGTCCCCCTCGAAGCCCATGTCGATCATGCGGTCGGCCTCGTCCAGGGCCAGGTAGCGGCAGATGTCGAGGCTGACCATCTTCTTCTGCAGCAGATCCATGAGGCGCCCGGGGGTGGCCACCATCATGTGCACCCCGCTGGGAACCAGGGAGACCCCATGGTGGGCTGGATACTCTGCCTATCTTCATCTCTCCCAACACTGGACCCCTCCTCGTGACCACCCCTTTTCCATTCCCCTCTCTCCAGAAGAGGCTGCATCTTCCCTCCCCCTTTTCTGGACCACTCTTCCTCTGGCCCACAGGGGCTTGTCCCGGAACTCGGAATGGTCTCTAGGCAGTGCTGTTAGAGAGCTCACTGGCCCTGTGACAGACAGGGACACCAGCTGGCCCATCCATGAGTCCAGGCATGGCTGCTGTGAACTAAGGCTGCCCCTCGCCTCAGCCTCCTTGTTCCGACCCCACCAGACGGGGTCCTGACCTTCCTGGACACGTGGAGCCCCTCGCCCGTCCCTGCTGAGCCCTCTGTCTGAAACGTCTCTCTTCAAAATGCAAATATCCCTTCCCTGTTGCCTTCTCAGAGCATCCTGCTTCCTACACCCCTGGGGCAGACTGGACTTCTTCATCTGCTGAGCTTCATGCGCCTCTCCACCTCTCTCTGTTCTACCCCAATGCCGGACGCTGGGGTTCATCTGCCTAGCTCCAGGAGCTGGGTGCTCCCTGAGGATGGGTGGGGCTCACAGCAGGCAGGGGGCTCTGGGGCAGCACTCACTGTCGGATGGTCTCCATCTGCTCTTTGACAGACATGCCCCCAATGCAGAGAGCGCAGCGCAGCAGGGGGGAGCTGTCCTCCTGCAGCAGGCGGCAGTAGTACTCTAGGATGCCGTGTGTCTGCCGAGCAAGCTCCCGCTGTGGGCACGGGACAGAGGCTGGCACCGGGAGGCAGGCAGCTCCCCGCTCTGCCCTGCCCACCAGGGTGGTCTATCTTACTGAAGGGCAGATGATGAGACCGTAGGGTCCCTCCCGCTTGGAGAAAGGCAACCTCTTCTCTTGTTCCAGGCAGAACATGATGACAGGCAACGTGAACACCAGGGTCTTGCCAGAGCCGGTGAAGGCAATGCCGATCATGTCCCGGCCAGACAGACTGCGGGGAGAGGGCCAGGGTGAGGATGCTTCAGCAGAGCCAGGCTCCGTGCACCTCCCCCCGCCGCCCCCCACCACTCACATGGTGGGGATGCCCTGGATCTGAATGGGCGTTGGATGGTGGATGCCTTTCTTCTTCAGGCCTCTCAGGATGGCTGCGGGAAAGAACCCAGCATCACCTTAGTCAGTGGTTCTCCGCCTTTCTCACGCCGCATCTTCCCTCCCTTTCCATATGGTGACCCCCAACCAGGAAATTACTGTCATTGCTAATTCATAACTGTAATTTTGCCACTGTTATGAATCTTCATGTAAATATCTGATATGCAGGATATATTTTCATGATTACAAATTGAACACAATTAAAGCATAGTGATGAATCACAAAAATAATGAAATGATGTATTGTGAAATATTTGTTTCTAGTTACAAATAAATGAGATTTTGTCTTGAAGCATGGTGTAGCATGGGTAA